GGAGCAGCAGGCAGATTTTAAAAATATGCCCCATGGTTTTGGGTGGGATCTTGCACGTTGCTGGACTTGGGACTGTTGCATGTTGGGGACCAAGCATCCCCAAAATCACATTGAATCAGTTTGCATTTTTTCCACTTGTAGGTGTTGCTCTTCACCTCTCACCACAAGCACCACCTCTCCTCCAGCTCCTGCTGCTGCTCATGCTTCTTTCCCTACCTCTTGCTGTGATGTTTGCCCTTTGGAGACCAGGTTGATGCCTGCCCCAGAGAGCAGCAGCTCTCCCGTGCCAGCTGGCTTGGTAGATCCCACCTTGCATTGCAGCCAGTTTGACAGGACAGATGCATGCCCAGGTCTGTCTGTGAAGCTGTCTTGGTGTGCTTTCTGCTTTTTACCCCTCTACATTATCATTCTCATCGGGGGACTGATGCTCTGCAAGAGCCTGAACACAAACCACCATGCCTGCTGCTCCTCCTCCATCCACCAAAGCGTGGTACCCCACTGAAGCCATATGTTGGCTGCTAAGCCCATCCCTTGAGTGAGGCAGTGTTCTGCTTCTTACATGGCCTCGCAGCCAGGAAATAGCTCCTGAGCCTGCCTGCCTGGGGAGTGCAGTGAAAAGCTGCTCTCACATCAGCCACAGCCGAAAGCAACACCTAAGGTGGGATTTACTGCCACATATGTGCTGGGAAGATGTGGGGACCCATTCTGCCTGGCTAATGTATTAAATTTCACGTTATACGATGCACAGGGCTCTCTGAGCACAGCAATTCCCTCTTTCTTCCTGTATGGATTTATACTGCTAAGTGGATGGATTTTCTGCTTGGCAGGGATGCTCCCTGGGGACCTTCCTGAGTTAGAAACATCTCTGCACATCTGTAGGCAATATCGCTGGGGCACCCTGTGAGTGGGCTTTTACAACACCCCTTGCTTTATGGACTGCTGCTTGATGCAGACAGGCACGGTGGAGGGGCTGACAAACAGCTTCCTGCAGCCGGCAGCGGGACTCCAGGTGATGGAGGGTGCCTGGGACTGGGCGCAAAAGCCACCGCTCTCCATTATCCCTGTGTACAGGAATACTGCTCCTTTGGTTTCTAAAATGGCTGGAGAGGGGCTGGTTTCCTCTCTGTTTAAAGGCCTGAGCCGATGTGCCTGTGGCTGGTTCCTAGTCAGCCTTAGCACGGACTGGGAGAGCCTGGTGGAGATGAAGGCAGTCTGTCTGGGATACTTCCCCCAGGCAAAGGCTGGGCCTGACATTTTCTTCTCTGCGAAGAGATGCTTCTTCCCCCTGCCCCGAGAGCCATCTGCTATGGTTGATTACCCTGGCTTTTAATGCTGTGAATCCATAATTAGTGCATAATTAATTACCAGATGTTTTTAACACTAATGAAACATTAATAAATGATGGAGGCATGTTGTCTGGTAATGGGACATTAACCAGTGAACCAAGCCAGCATGCAGGGCAGTGCTGTCTGAGCAGGAGGCAGGGCTGCGTGGGGCTGAGCTCTCCTCTGGTAAAGCCTCAGCACAGCAAAAATCACAGTGAGAACCTGGTAGGAGCTGGTGGCTCACTTGGTGCTGCCTTCAAGGCTGTGAAAACCCTGGGCTGTGGTCATGTTAACTCCATCCATCCATCCATCCATCCATCCATCCATCCATCCATCCATCCATCCAACCATCCATCCATCCATCCATCCATCCATTTTTTGGAAGGCATGAGGCCCAGCATCAGGCAAAGGCAAGGCCAAGATGAGGGCAGCACACAGGCTGCTCCTGTGTGCCTGCTTCCTTCCCATTCCTCCCCTGAAGACCTGGAAAAACAAGAGGGCAAAGGGATTGCTGGTGTTCGCAGATCTGGGACCAGCTGCCTGTGTTCCATGTGCATATGAACACGTGCCCAGCAGCCACTGCACTGGCAGGAAACTGGGGCACATGCTGGGGAAATGGAGGAGCGGACCCCATTGCACTGCATCTTGCTCCTCAGTCCAAGCTATCCATGGACGCTGTCCCCACAAACAATCCCTGTCAGCACTGTCACATGGAAATTTAATTCAAAGCATCTGGGCCATTGCCATCTTTCTGATGTCAAATTATTAATCAGACAAGGAAAGTGCATTAATTGGGACTGTGTCATCTCCTGCCTCTAGAGATGCCCACAGCTGTGTCCTCCCACCTCCCTAGGAGGTACCAGAATGCAGCCAGAGCTTGGGGACACACTACCCATGAATGGGTACAAGTAGCAGCCAGCTACTTCTCCACCACAGCACATGGGGTGCTGACAGCCATCCATGGGTTTCCAGGGGTGGGCACCCCACCACCATCCTTACACCTTCTCGAGGTGCTCCGAAAGCCAGGTTTTGTGCACACAGCCGAACCCACCCATCCGGGGGAGGGGAAATAACGCCCAGAGCTGCCAGTGGTCATGAAATGATCATTTAATGAAGACCGTCTCTCCTGGCGCGCGCGCGTGTGTGTGTGCGTGTGTCTGTGTGGGCTTTTATTTTTTTTCTTCCCTCCTTTTTTTTTTTTTTTTTTTTTTTTTTTTTTTTTTTTTTTTTTTTTTTTTT